CTTTACAGGAAGGAGCCCTTGAAACTTCTTCCCCCTTACGGAGATATTTCCTGGGCAATACTTGATATGAAAGTATTACCAATCATATCATACTATCTTTCGACCCATAGATTACAGAAATACTATGAGATCCCTAATTGCCAGATCATCCATATGCTTCCATTTTTGGATTACAGGAGCTACTTGCCCCCAGCAGGAATTGAACCATGGACCTTAAGGACCTGTCCTGACGCCTTAGTCCACTGAACTATGACCGGGTTGGTCTTTTGTTTATTTTGTTATTGAAATATCCAAAGTTTTTAGAAAAAGGAAAAGTAGACAAGTGGAAGAAGCACTGGCCTTCAGAAGATAATGTTTTTAAGGAGAGTGTATAGACTTTATTATCAAAAATAAAAAAATATTTTTGAGAACATCTGTTTTTTTGAATTGGCAAAGGGATTAGTGGAAAGAGTTTTTTAATTATATATTTAATATTAAAATATAATATATATAAATACATTATATATATATTAGTCTATTATCTATTATAGTAGATATATTTCTAAAAAACTCTTAAGCAGGAAAAAAAAAAGAAACTATTTATATTTATTTTGTCTTAAGATATTGACCTTTCAATTCTAATTTGAAGTAGGACAAAATATAAATAAAAAAAATATATTAAATATATAAAAAAATATTAAAAATATAATTGAAAGATAGAAAAAAGATTATATGATAAAGTCATTTGTTTATAAGTGAAAAGATATTGAAATAATAGATCAGTGGATCAATAGTATAGTGGATAGTGCTCCTTGGTTTTCAAATATATGTTTTTAGTTCAATACCCACAAGAGACAAAATGCATAAAATTATTTTCATTTATAAATTTATCGATTTTCTTACAAATGTTATATTCAAACATCTGAATCATAACCAAACTCAGTTAGGCTGCATGAAAATGGAATCTCTGATCTTTCTGACAATCATGAGCTGAAAATAGATTGAAGCAGGAAAGGTTGCATAAGGAAAGACTTCTGATTTAACTCTGATAAAAGCTTACAAAATCACTCCTGACATAGCAAACTCTGTAGCACAAAGAATACCCTAGTCTAGAGCTATTCCAATCTAATACTTGCTTAAAAAAAAGTTATATCTCAAATATATACTTGATATAATCTGAAGCTGCAAGTAGTGACAAGGAATACAAGTACCTTCTCTAAGGAACTAGGCAAAAAGTATTTGGATTATCTAGTATTCTAATTAATCTTGCAAGGTACAGAATCTTTGACAATGAGCAGCTATAAGGTTGTCAAATTAAAACTTAGCAGAAAGGTTGAGTTTAAACTGATAACAGAATTTTCCACTCCTGAATTTGTCTTACTTGATATATAGATCCATTTCTATAGTAATAAATTCATATAGTTGGATTAAATAAATAGTAGAAATGAATTAACTTAAATAAACCTTTGATATAATGTATATTGGATATAAATAATATAATAAAAACCTATACATCTAGTATTTTTTACTTTTAAAAAAAAAAAAAGATATTGAAGTGATAATATATATTTAGATTCAGATATATATTATTTTTATATTATTAATTCCTTTTACAAGATACAAACCAAATATATCTATCTAGGTTATTACTTCTTTTTTAATAACTGAACATAATTCCAGCAGCAGTGGAAGAGCATTAGCTTAGGCTGTCAGCTTATAAGGCACAACTTTCTAATAATTAAACTTCCACTTACAATAAAAGTACTTTATTTTCATTTATATTAATTAAGCTTTAATTGCTTTTTTTTTTAACAGTAACATTGTTGCTTATAAATTGCAACTCTATTGTTAATTATAATAGTAAGAAGTTTTATGATTAATAAAAAAATGTTGTGATTAAAGTATAAGTGAGTTGAATAACTGGAGCTTACTTCAATTGTTTATTGTATTATTTGAATATGTGTTATATTAAAAATCATTAGAACCCATACAAGATACAGATCATATGCTTTTTTAATCTGATAGGTTATTGTTATAATTGTTATTATTGTTTATTGTAAAAGTGTGAGTATTTGATATAAGTAAGTAGTACAAGATCTGATTGATGTTTTATATGATATAAATCTTTTAATGAAAATAAACTGATTGTAGTTTTTTATATAAAAAAACTAGTTGTTAACCTATTGCTTTGCAATGGTAATTATTTAATTATAGTAGATAGAATCATATGATTTATGATGTTATCAACATCAAATTATTTAATTGATTTAAAAACTTTATGATGAATACAATTTATTTATATAGGATAAACTAAATGTCAGCGTTATACACAAAGATTACACACATTTATTTTTAATATATATAATTGATTTTTGTATAGAGATTTTAAAATTTTTTTGATATACTATATATAAGATTAAGTGAGAACTATAAAGACTAGACAAAAAACAAAAACTTTGACTCTGAAAAAATAAAATACTGTTTTTTTGAAAATAGTTAGTATATTATTATATATATTGTAAAGTAGTATTTGTATAGAAAGAATATATAAGAATATATAAAAAAATTTTCTTAGAAGAAGTTTACTAGTTTCATTTTGATAAAGCAAATATAGTAGAAAGTATTTTATACTCTTCCATAAGGATTACTTTTCTAACTGAAACTCTTGCATCCTGCAATCTTGATTAAGGACTATTCTTTTCTCAAATAATAAGATATACTCTTGGAATCAAGACCATTTATCAATTCATAATTCTTGATATATTACTCAAAAAGAAAATTTTTTACAAATTAAGTATCATAGGAAAAGTTTTTTTTTTTTAGATTTTATCAATAAAATATTTATTATAATCAATATTAATAAATAAATAAAATAGTTATTGAAGCTCTTATTTTTTTATATAATCTTATTTGAAACTAAAATATAATATTATCAATATATTCTTCTACAAAAATCATTTGAAATTAAAATTTCTATAAATTATATAAAAATTTTTCTATTAAATTTGTAATTATACTTAATAACATTAGACTTAAGTACAAACTTAATGTCTTATAAAAAAACTACTATAAATTTTCTATCTTTTGTTATAAAAAACTTATATATAACAAATTAAATTCTTTATTATATTTAAAAAATCTAATATTCAAACTTAATTAATTTATTACTATGAATTCTAAATAAATAATCATAAATTTTAATATTATAACAAAAATCTTTTTTGACAATTATCAAAAATTTAAAAATTTTTATTTTTAGAAAATTTTAAGAACAAGGTTTAAAATATTCTTTTAACTTATAAAAAATTAAAAAAAACTAATTATCAATATCTTTTCAAATAGACAAATAACTTTTATTTCAAACCAATAAAATTTATTATAATTTTTTTATTTGTTTTATATTAAAAAAACAAGTCAAAACTTTATAAAGAAAAAGACAAAAAATAAAATAAACAATTCACAATAAAATTAGAAAAAAAAAACTAGTATCAATCTTATAAAGCTATTATTTAATTATACTGTATATATATTAGGTTAAATATCTATTTAAATATTAATAGGATTTTGCTCTAATCAGATTATATTTAATAAATTAGATAATCTTATATATTAGTTTAAAGTTAAAGAATATCAAATGTTTCTTTTTAAATCTTGAATAAAGAAAAAATCAAAACAAGATATGTATAATTTATATTACTACAGATTTTATATATCTTAAAAAATTTTTATTTGCTTTAGAAAAATTCAAATTGACTTATCTCTTCAAAGAATCAGCTGTAATATAAATATATATATATATTAGATTATACAATAAAATATAAGCTATCTCACAAATAAAATTGATAGAAGTGATATTCAGAATAAAATATTAGAGGAATAAAAAACTCTTTCCCGCAAATCTTAAAATTCTTAAAAATTTCTTTTTTTTGGTAAAAACATAAAAAATTCCAAGAAACACCAAAGGAAATACTCAAAGAAAACTTTCACCAAGAATAAATACTCTACTGGCCTCTTCCAAACCAGAGCAGGATACAGTAAACAGGTATAACTGAACTTAAAAGAACACCAACTCTTTCTTTTATTTCAAAACAGATAGATATATACTTGTTTTTTCTTACTGGGAAAGAAGGAAAAACAAGAAAAACAATTCACAATAAAATTAAAGAGAAAGTCAGCACCATACTTCCCAAGCTACCAGCCAGTCATGTACCAGGTTAGATACCTCCTCTAGTCACTAGTAGGGTCTTGTATCAGCCAGATCACACCCGGTAAACCAGGCAAC